GGCTTGTCTCTGTGGCCACTACTCTTCACAGCCTGTGAGGGACATTTGACTTACATCCCATTATAGGTTACAAGTAACACTATTGGGCTTCCCTGGTGGCCCAACTGGTAAAGAATCCGCCTGCAGTGCAGGAGACCCTGGTTCGATTCCTGGGTTGGGAAGATACCCTGGAGAAGGGATAGGCTACCCACTCCAGTATTCCTGGGCTTCCCTGGTGGCTCAGCTGGTAAAGAATTCGCCTGCAATGCGGAGACCTGGGTTTGGTCCCTGGGTTGGGAAGATCCCCTGGAGGAGGACATGGCAACCCATCCGAGTATTCTTGCCTAGAGAATCCCCATGGACAGAGGAGCCTGGCAGGCTACAGTCCATGGGGTCGCAAAAAGTCAGATATGTCTGAGCAACTAAGCACAGCACAGCACATTGAGCACATGCTATGTGGAAGTGCCAACCAATCTCTCAAGCTCTTAATGCATCAAATTCTCCCCAACAACCTAATGAGATCAGCCCTGTAATTGTTCCCATTTTACAGATGAAGAAACTGAGGCTTAGAGGCTCAGTGATCCCACAGCTAAGCAGATGCTGAACTCTAAATTCTAAATCTCTCTGAGTGACCCCCTAGAGACTTTATTCTTAATTATGGGCTTCCCCCAAACAATGGCTTCCTGCCCTAGAAGTGGGGAGAAACTCTGATGAGGGTCAATGATTTAACTTTTCAGTTCTTCAGTTTCTTCATCATAAAATAAAGATAATAATAATAATAGTACTTACTCTAGGGCTGATGTGAGAGTTAAGATATGAAATGTTCAGAGCTAGTACAGTAGCCACTCACACGTGTGGCTATTTAAATTTTAATTCATTCAGTTCAGTTCAGTTCAGTCGCTCAGTCATGTCCACCTCTGCGACCCCATGGACTGCAGCATGCCAGACTTCCCTGTCCATCACCAACTCCCGGAGCTTGCTCAAACTTATTTCCATAGAGGCGGTGATGCCACCCAACCATCTCATCCTCTGTCATCTGCTTCTCCTGCCTTCAATCCTTCCCAGCATCAGGGTCTTTTCTAATGAGTTAGTACTTCGCATCAGGTGGCCAAAGTATTGGAGTTTCAGCTTCAGCATCAGTCCTTCCAATGAATATTCAGGACTGATTTCCTTTAGGATTGACTGGTCAGATGTCCTTGCAGTTAATTCATTAACATTAAAAAAAGTTACAAATTCATTTATTCAGTGACACTAGCCACATTTCAGATAGTGGTAGCCTCATGTGGTGACCATACTGGACAGCACAGATAAAACATTTCCATCACCACAGAAAGTTCCATTTGTTGGCACTGGTAGAGAGCAATATGTGTCATGAAACAAGCCTCAAAAGCTGTTAACCATGGGAGAAGGAAATGGCAACCCACTCCAGTACTCTTGCCTGGAAAAGTCCATGGACCGAGGAGCCTGACAGGCTGCAGTCCATGGAGTTACATGACAGAACACACATGCATGAGGAGGGTGGAGGGAGATGGGTTGGTAGCAATAAACTGTTAGAACTAAAAGCAAACAAAAAAAACCTGTTAATCATGTTATATATAATTAATCCTAGATCATTAGTTATTATAATTATAGTATGTTATATGTGTATTTATACCTATTAATTCTAGACTTATTTTTTTACTTGTAATCTACTTATTAAGTGCAGTTATTGTTAGTCCTAGAACTGTTGACATGACAATATTACATTTATTATTAATCTTATTACTATCCTATTGTTTTATGTTCATGATTATTAATCCTATCACCATTATTTTCTTTATAATTTCGTTTATTTTTGGCCGTGCTGGGTGGGTCTTTGTTGATGCGCGAGTTTTTTTCTGGTCGTGGCAAGTGCGGCTCCTCCCTAGTTGCAGTGCAGGGTGGTTTCTTACCAGATGCAGTTCCCGGCCTCCAGACACAGGCTCAGGAGTTGTGGCCATGGGATTAGTTGCTCCATGGCATGTGGGATCTTCCTGGATCAGGGATCTAATGGGTGTGTCTGGCATTGGCAAGCAGATTCTTTAACACTGAGCCACCAGGGACGCTCCCCCATTATTATTATTAATATAAGCTACCATTAATACTATTAATCCTAGACCTGTTATTATTATACTTATTGTAACTACTAATATCCTATTGCTATTTTATATTTGCAATTAATCTTGTAATAGTCAGCAGTGTATTATTAGCTAGACTTCATAATTGTTATTACATTGTTATGTTTATTGTTATAGATCCTTTTACTATTAACCCCGTTCTGGTTAAATTTTGTTATTAATATCAGTTGTTAATTCACTATCAATGGTCCGATTACGTATTGACTAATAGTTATCGACTACTCTTTTGTTGCTGTTGTTAATCCTGAGGGTATCCGAGCCCCGAAACTTGGCAGGCAGTAGGTGCGCTCCGGCTCAGCATTTTCACCGTCAGAAGGAAGGGCGGTCGGCTCCCCCCAAGACCGCTTTGTTTCCGGGGAATTCGAATAAACCTCTTACTCCCTTTGGGCCCCAGTGACCTGTGAAGTGGGAGGAGCCTAGGCCGGCCAGCCTGCCCGCGGAGATGAAATCGCTGCTCTGAGCCGTGATGCTCTGAAATCTAGGGCAAGGCGGTGGAGGGGTATTCTCTGAAAACCCTTTGCCTTTCTAAGGAAAAACAAAAACGAAGTGAGAAGTCTCAGTCGCGGAGAGCACTGAAACAAGAAACTGGACTCTGGAGGGGACGCGTGGCGAGAAGAAATTAAACGAGAAAGGAAACCACTTGGGGCCTCAGAGAAATCTGGCGCGAGGGAAGGCTTGCACTGTGATTAAAAAGGGGAAGAACCACAAGTCTCCATTTAAGTCAGCAAAGCTGCCGTGAGAGGGAAAGTGCTTGCGGCTGGCAGATTTCAGCAACCATTTGACAACTGCTGTGTACCTGGCCGTTCTGTTGGTGCCATCAACAGCCGTGTGACTGCAGGCGAGTAATTGCTCTCTGTGGACCTCAGACTCCCCAGATGTGAGAAAGAGATAATAATACGGGGTGATCGGGTTAGGCTTCCCTGACGACTTACTCCCTTTGTCCCACATCATCAGCTGCTGTGTGAACATTACTGGGGCACCTCCTTATGGGTTGCCAGCTGCAAACTTGGCAGCTCAAATGCAACAGGTCCTTCTGTGCAAAACCCTCCATGGCTCTATTGCTCCCAGGATAATTCCCAGACCTGCCACCAGGACCTTTAAGTCTCCATGTGAGGGGCCTCCTTCATCTTGTCCCACCTGTCAGTCCAGGCATCACCACTGCTTTCTTGACTTCCCTTGAATACATCAAGTTTATTCCCACATCAGGATCTTTCCAGTTATTGTTCTTTATCATGCCTCGATCCTTCTTGTTGTGAGGTGGAGGAGAGGGGTGGTCTCATCCCAAATATTAGTTCCTTAGAAGGTCCTCCAAGCATACAGTTTCAGAGAGCCTGGGAAGCACTCTCCATCCTGTTACTGTTTTGTCATCTTCATAATACATTATCCCACTTTCTATTTATTCATGTTCCATGTCCCCTCATCAGAATGTCAGCTGAGGACAAGGGATGCCCATGAAGGCAGGGATATTTGTCTGTCTCATTCAGTGCTGTGTCCCCAGCACTCTGAACAATGCCTGACATACATATTTATGGAAAGCACACGTCTGTGGCCAGTTCCTTCAAGGTTATTGAACTCTAAGGATCCTACAGCAGACAGTCCCCCTTCCGCCATCTGGTGAAATCTGGAAATCCCCATCTTCTGGGGGAACCCCTTCCTGTAGCACCAACGGCAGGACTCAGGCCTGATTGTTGAACAAACACTAGCAGTGTTTCCCCTTGGGCAAAGCCCCTTGCTAAGTGCTTTAATGCATTAACTCATTTAATTCTCACAACAACCCTGGGTTATGTGTACTCTTATTATTTCCATTTCATAGATTAGGAAATTGAGGTGTGGAGAAGTCAAGTCATTTGCCCAAGGTTAGTAAGAGGGGGAGGCAGGGGAATGGAAGAGTGTGTTGTCTGGAAAGAGTCCATGTGGCCCCTGCAAGCTGGGGGTGTGAGCGACTTGTTTCCTGTTGTGGGAGGGAGAGCAGAGCAGACATTCCTCTCTCCCCTCCCTCCCATGTGTTAGAGGAAGGACTGGCTGGGTGTAGTATGCTCCCCCTCAGGCAAGTGCAGACCCCACTGTGAACCACATCCCACTTATGGCTCAGATAAAATGAAAGTAGCCCCGGGAAGAGCAGAGAGGGAGGCCCAGAGGCCATGGGAGCCAGCGATTCAGGAGAGCTTCCTGGAGAAGGATGCCCTCCTGGAGTTGGGAAATGGATGGGCCCATAGAGGCCCGTGTACAGGGCCATGGGTTACGACAGGGGCAGAGCTGAGGGTGGCGCTATGGGGGGGTCGGCTCAGTAGAGTTGAGGATAGTCGGGGCTGGGCGGGGTTGGGATCCTTCCCCGGGTGATGATGAAAGCTGCGGTCGCTATTGCACTGACCGGCCCGGCGCGCGCAGATAAGGCCCGGCAGGAGGGAGTCGGCAGGGTCGCGCCCCCTCGAGGCCAGGATCCTTGGCCTGGCCCCGCCTTCAGACCCCGCCTTTCCTTCATCCAACCCCGCCCCCATAGCGTGGAGGCTCGCGTGGTGGTCGCTGGCGCTCACTGGGTGGGGCCAGGGTTGCCCCGCCCCTCCGGCCTTTCATTCCCTTCTTTAGGCTTTGCGATTCGCCATCGGGTAGGCGAGCTGTGGGCGTGGTTTCACAAGGGCCCGCCTCTCCGGGCTTGCGATTGAGACCCCAGAACTCGGTCAGTTGAGGAGAAACCGGGCTGGTGGGCGGGGCAAGGACCAGCCCCGCCCCTCGAGCCCTGTTTTCCCCTCCCCCCTTGCCTCCGGCCAAGTCCGGCTCGCGGGCGGACTGGGGGCGGGGCTTAGCGTGGCCAAGCCCCGCCCCGGCCCCGCCCCTCTCGTAGCCGCCCTCCCCCGCCGGGCTCTGCTAGCACAGCCGGTTCCTCTTTACATAACGGCGCGGGGCGGCATGGGCTCGGGCCACCGCCTCCGCCCGGCCGCCCGCCCGGACTGTCGCGGCCCGCGGTGGCGACGTCGGCGACAGCAAAGTTTCCCCGGTGGCGGCCCGGAGGCGCATCCTCCCGCAACTGTCAAGCGCTGGCGGCGGAAATGATGAGGCGCTGGCCATTTTCCGAGCCCGGGTTTCCTGCCTGAGCCCCGCTCGAGCGAGCCGCGAGCCAGGAGCCGGCGCGCGGGAGAGAACGCGCCCGGGGCGGGGACCCGCCCGCCCCCTCGGGATTTCGGGGGGCCGGGGGCGCGCGACGCCATGGGCCGGCCGGGCCCGGACCCCCTCTCTCTCAGGTAAGCACGCCTTTCCCAGAGCTTCCCTCCTCCGGGGCTGGAAGGGCTTCAATGGGGGACGGGGAGGCCCCGTGTCCCGTTCTGCCCAGTGCCTGCGCACTCCCGCAACTGCCTAAAATATTGTCCTGCTGCTCACTCTGGTGGGGGTGTTCAGGGGTGACCGTCCCCCAGCTCCTGCGACACCCTCCCAGCCGACACCCACACACGTGTTGGGGATGTAGTGGGGGTAGCTGAGGCAGTGGGGGAGGCGCTGGGAAAGGGTTTGGCTAATACTCCCAGCTGCCTCTTAATGTAGCCCAGCTAGTCAACTTGTACCTAGAGAGGAGGGGTTGAGGGGTCACTGCTTTGATACCTTGAAAGTGAAAGTAGTCAAACTGAGCCCGTGAGAATGGAAGCGTCCTCTTGGAGTGGGGCACAGGCCTCTCCCTACTCTCCCAGGCGAGGCCATGTGGCTAAGGGGCTAGTACTCACCGCCCCCCACCCCCAGCATTCCAGAAACCCCTCTCCCCATTATTCTTTACCTCAGGGAGGTGGGGTGGCCCAGGCGCCCCCATGCTGCAGAATCTGGGGGTTCAAAAGGGTTAGGGCTTTCAGAGCTCAGTTCTCTTTGGACTGGTACCTTCCCACCCTGGACATGGGGCTCCAGGGGAATCCTTCCACCCAAAATAAACAGGGACACAAGTCATTGGCCTAATAGGTCATCAGGGCTGGAAGGTATTTCAGAGGCCCTTAATGCCTGGTGCAGAAATCCCCTCCCTCCCCTCATTCTGTTCTTGGGGGTTTTTGGGGCAGTGGGGACTGCATTTGAGGAACTGGGGAGGGGGGCCTGCCTGCCATTCCACTTTTTTTTCTTGAGTTTCCTCATTCTCCTGTTTCTCTTCCCCATTCCCGGGCCACAATGATGTAGGTAAGGAGTTCACTGCCTGCAGCTGGGGGCCTCCAGGGAGGGGAATGACCAGGCCGGACTGAGTGGGAGGAAGTGAAATTGGGCTCCAGGAGGGGGTTTCTGAACAGAGGGCCTGGCAAAACGAAGTCTGGAGGGCTAAGGACCAGCTTTGGGAGCAGGAGAGGCAGAGATCTGCCCTGGGAGATGAGCTTCCTCCGACACCCAGCAGCTGCCCTGCTCAGCTGGGGCAGCCAGTCCATTCCCATTTACAGTCCAATCCCTAGGACCCCTGCCAGGGTGGTGGGCACATGCATCTCCAGAGTTGTGGGTGCGAGTTGTGTCTGAATTTCCCATCACTGACCTGGCTGCCAGAGCGGAAACAGCGCTGGAGGCCCCCTGGGCCCAGAGACCCAGCCGTAGTAGGGGGAGAGCGGACTGAGGCCCCTTGTCAGGCTGGGGTCAGCAGATGAGAGGCCAGGGCCCGTTGGGGAAGTTGGATGGGTTTTTAATACACTTTTTCTGAGCTTTTTCCCACAACCCCCCTCTGGGAGGGAAAATCCTTTGGAGCCAAAGGGTGAACATTCCTAGAACTCGTGTGAGTCTCTGTGGGCCGTGGAGGAGCCAGCTGGGAAGGGGCTGGACTAAAGCATCAGCTTCTGGCGTCTGAGTTCCTTCGGGGGCTCAGTAGTGACGGAGGAGGGTCGTGGAAGCTTAGGTTCCATACCTCCACTGCTTTTTCCCAGCCGAGGGCATGGGCAAGTGACACTTGTGAGCCTCGGTCTCCCCCTGTGTGAAACGAGGTAATAATAGGTTTGTGGTAGGCACATAATGAGCCTGGCAGGAAAGGTTCACTTACCGGTGGTGGTGGTTTTCCTCATTACCATCATTAGTGTTATTGTTACTGGCTGTGGAATCTTTGTTCATCAGCATCCCTTGAGCACCACCTGCACGAGCAGCTCTGAGGTTTCCTGAGTTCTGGGAGAAGAATTCTGGAGTTCTTGGACAGGGTGCGATGTTGGTGATTCCCAGCTCTATGGCCTTGCTTAATAACCCCCCCCACCTCAGTTTCTTCATCTGTCAAATGGGTGTGATATTAGTACCTACTTCTTTAGGGTCATTGGAACCATAAATGAGTGAATTCATGAAGTGTTTAGAATGGCTTGGTCAGGAGGATGAATAGTAATAAGGAAGAGATTGTTGTTATCTTGTTTGTTGTGGGTATTAGCTTTGCTTGTTTTCCTTCTCCTTCCCCTCCCCCATTCTTCTGAATCCTGGGCTTGATCCTTCTTCAGTAACACAAATTCTTTCTAATACAAATTCGTTTCTGTAGAACTACTCCAATATAGCAGTAGCCTGGGCCTGGCAGGTGCTGGGGAGCCCTGCAGCAGTTCAGCCTGTAGGCGCCGTTGGGTATCTGGGTCTAGCCATGCCACCTCCTGGATAGAGCTTCCTCGAGGGCAGAGGGGGCAATGTTGGAGGCACTTGGAGGGGCCTTCCAGCTGCCCGTCCCCTGCACTGCCCACCCTGAGTGGGAGAGACAGAGCACATAAAGCACTCAGTGCTGGCCTTGGCACTCAATTAATAATAGACACTGTTGTTGTTATTGTTGTCATTGTTATTCAAATGAGAGGACTTCGCTGTTCAGTTCTTGCTTCTCTCAGTAGCAGCATAGGTTTTGGAACCAGATCTGAGCTTTGCCAGCTTCTCTTGGGTATATGATCCTATATGTGAGTTCATATGTGAAGGATATGAGCCTGGCACAGAGTCGGGGCTCACTGTGTTGAGTATAATTGCTATGGCTGTGTGACCTTGGGCTTGTCCCTTAACCTCTCTGAGCTGTGGATTTCCTGGTCTATGAATGCAAGCACTAATAGGGTTGTTTTGAGAAGAGGCAGGCACAGTGCCTGGCATGCAGTCAGTGCTTAATAAGAGCTACTGCTGTTAATGCCTGAGAGGAAGGCTGGCACTTAATTGCCAGGTTTCCTGGGAAAATGGTCCCTGGGGGCCCTGGGGTGTTCAGCATCTTTGGCGGGGCAGAACAGGAAGCTGCTTCCATCTGGCAGATGAAAGAAGCCTGCCTTGGAGAGTCCAGAGGTGTAATACAAGTTGCTTGTTCCCAGCCAGACCCTGTTCCCAGCTACCCGCCCTCCGTGAGGAAACTGAGGCCAGCAGGCTGCCCAGGGGAAGTGACTCAGCTAGGGTCACTCGCTGAGTCAGGCCTAATTGGACCCAGGAGCCCTGTGCCCCAGCTCCCCGGCTTCCAGGGCCTGAGGTCCCTCGGGGACTGGGCAGGTCCAAACCGCAGCTGGACACCCACTGCCTTGGGCCCGGAAACCTGGACGCCCAGCATTCTCTGGTGGGGACTCGGGTCCCAGTGGTCACTGCTGGGCCGCTCAGTCCAGCGTCCTTCCTGACCACGGGGGCAAGGGGCACTTCCCCAGGAGAGCAAGTCCTCCTGGCGTCCCCCGGCTCCGCCCCGTCCGGAAACCCAGCAGCTGAGCAGATGGCTGGAAGATTTTTCCTCCCACGCCACCCTGTCAGGGGTCGGCTAGGGGGGCCGGGCTGCAGGCTTCCTCATGAACCAGGCAACGGAGCCCCTGGGGGCCTGCCCGGATGTGGGCCCCCACCCCGGCTGGCTGGGGTGTGGCGGGGGGAGAGCCTGCCACTGCCCTGCGTGTCCCCAGGGAGGCCTGGGAGGGAGGAAGTCTGTGCCCGGCTCATCGCGAGCAGACTCACAGGACGCCTGAGAGGCAGGCCTTGGCCTTGAGGGGCTGGAGGCCTGGAAATGCGATCAGGGGTGGTGGACACAAAAGAGGGCCTTTGGCACAAAATCGGTCCTTTGAGAGCTGGCCCTCCTGTCATGTCACTTGGAGGAGAGTCCCAGAGAGGGTGATGAGTGGAGAGAGGTGCACAGGAGCGGGAGGGCTTGAGGGCTCCCGTCCTGACGTCCCGAAGAGGCAGTACCGTCTGGGGGTGTGGGATGCGTGGAGCTGACAGGCTGCCCTGTCATCTCTCCTCCACCCAGGGGCACTCAAAGGAAGAAGTCCTGTCTTGGGATGGTGGTGGCTTAGAGTTCTGCCTATTCTTGGGCAGGGGGCAGGGGGAGAGGCCTGGCTCTCCCCGCCTCCCGAAGCCTAGCCGGGCTGTTGGCCGGGGTGTCCCGCGGGGGTGGGGGCAGAGGAAGCCAGAGGACATTTCCTGTTCTGGCAGACTGCGCTGGTGTGATAAATGTCCTCGGGCACTCGGTGACCCCAGAGAGAGTGCCTCAGGGCTCCCTGGCAGCCGTGGTCTAGCAGAGACCCCACCTCTCAGCCTCCCTAGGGCCCCAGAACCTCTGCTCTGAACCTCCCATAGGCTCCTCCCCAGTCTGACCCAGCATGAGTGGTGTGAAAGGGCAGTGGGCCTCCTGCCAGGCCATGTGCTGGAATCCCCTCAACACTGGGCCTCCTTGGACAGGGGGGATCTGGGCTCCCGGAGAAAGTTGGTGCTGCAGGCAGGAAAGGCAGAAGTGCTTCCAGTAGCCTGGAATGAACCTGGAGGGCTCCTTGGAGGAGGTGTCTTCCTCAGAAGGTGTTAAGACTTCCTGCCCAAACATCAGTGAGCTGTAGACCTGGGTGCAGATGGAGGCTCTGAACTGGCTCATTTTAAGTTCACTTGCCACAATTTAAAATATTCTCCCTGAGCCTTGACAGGTGAAATTCCCACAGGTGGGTAAGGGCCTTCTCTGCACCTGGGCCTGATAATGAAGCAGGAAATATTAGCTTCCCCAGATTCCATTATTACCCGGGGTGATTGGACAGAGGAGAGACTTTTGAGCCTCAGTCTCTGGGGTCCTGAGGAAGCCCCCTCACTCGGAGCCAGGATTGCCAGCTGTTCAGAGCCTGAATTCTCCCTAGCTTGGTATAGGATGTATTGCTATATGCCTGAACAAGAGACACCTGCCAAATACTGGCTAAGCCTTCAGAGCTCTCACCAGGTTACCCTCAGCAGGGATGCTGTGGACACACTTGTTTTAAACTTGGGGGTCTGAAAGGCAGACCCACCTCCCCTCCCCTGCGACATGAGCCCCAGGATGGGCACAGAGGTAACTGCCCCCACCTCTGTGGGTGTGCAGTGGGGAATTGGGGGGTGGGGCGCCAGGATGCAATCTGATCTCCCTGTTCTTGTTGCCTCATCCTTGTCTCTTACCCTGCTGGGGGATTTTGGGAGATCTTGCAACCACACTTCCTTATCCAACAGAACTCCCTGTCCTCAAAGTCCCAGATGAGGAGGTGGGAGGGACCCCCTGGACTTGCAGGCCCTCTGTGACGGCTATTCATCCCTTTGGTTGCCCAGACTCCCAGATGCTCCCATGGGTGGGGAGGGGATTGGAGGGGAAAAAAATGCACCAAAGACCCCTCTCCTCATACCCGCTAGCTGAAGCCTAGGGGGCTCCTGGGAACCCACAGGTGATTAGTAGTTGCTTTTCCTGCCAAGAGCTTCTAGGCCCTGTTCCCGGGGTTGGCGTGATCTGATCGGTTGCTCTTCCTCTGTGTCTGGCACATAGTAAACACTCAATAAATGCTACCTCCTGGGCTGGGGCCCAAAGAGGGGACCACCTTCCTGCAGCCTGGCTGCATGCCCTGACCAGGAAACCTCCCGGGCGTGGCCCCCTCCCCAACACAGGCCACAGCGGAGTGCTCTGGCTGTGGCTTCCTGCCCGGAGCTCCTGCCCGGAGCTGCCCAAGCAATGCTTCTCCCCTGAGATGGCCTTGTGTTCAGGCTCCTGTGGCCTCCCCCCTTCCTGGCCCAGCCAGTGAAGCCTGCGAGACTGCCTGTGGCTTCTTACAGCAGATGGGTCTGACATTCTCTGGAGCTGGCACCCCTCTTTTCGAACAACAATAATAGCAGCAGCCACTTGTTTCTTGAGCCCTGTGCCCAGGACCCCACAGATATCAGTTCTTAGAATGCTCCTAGTGAATGTCCAGAGAAAAACATGAACCCATTTTACAGATGGGGAGGGGAGTCCTCTTTTCTGCAGCACACAGCGAGGAAGTGGCAGAAAGAGGATGTGAACCCAGATTTGGTTGGTAGCTCCACCGTGGAGAGCTCATTTGTGGTGGTGGGTTTCTCAGAGCCCCTCAGCCTTTTTTTTGTCAGTCCATGAAGGTCAGGGGCATGATTGCAAGAGTATGATTGCCAAACAGCAGCCTGCCTCAGCCCTGGGAATTCATCACTTCATGCAACTTTAGCATTTCTGGAGTTGCTGCTCTGACATGCCCCATGAAGTGGGCCGGGAGTGCCGTGGCCTTTGGCTGCTGGGGGCAGATGCTGAGGGAGGTGGACAGTGAGCAGTATTGCTCACTATAGCTGGTGCTTCCAGCAACTGAACAGGCTTTTAATCCCAGCTATGCCCCTCGTGGAACTTGTGACCCTGGACAGACCATTCCTCCCCCACCTTGGCTTTCTCATCCATCAAATGGGCATAATGCTGGGACTGCCCTGCTGATGGGGAATAAATAAGTGAAAAAATGTGAAGTATTTAGCGCAGGGTGGGGCACATAGTGTGAAATAGCATCATTTATTGCTGTTTTAAAACTTTCACCCTGTGGCTATTTTCCAACCACTTGTTCAGAGTCACTGGGGCCTCCTGACTCCAGCAGGACCTGAGTGAGTGAAGTCGCTCAGTCGTGTCCGACTCTCTGCGACCCCATGGACTGTAGCCTACCAGGCTCCTCCGTCCATGGGATTTTCCAGGCAAGAGTACTGGAGTGGGTTGCCATTTCCTTTTCCAGGGGATCTTCCCAACCCAGGGATCAAACCCAGGTCTCCTGCATTGCAGGCAGACGCTTTACTGTCTGAACCACCAGGAAGACCTGAGTGAGGCCTTTCTATCTTCTCCTCTGGATAATCATTCACTGGGCAGTAAATCTTCCTTGTGGTGTGAGTTTGGGCACTGATCAGGTGTTTTGTTGGGGGGGCTTCTGTGCGGGGTTTCCATTGATCACTAGCCACAGGAGCTCTGTGCTTCAGTTTAACCACCTGTAAAATGGGAGCAATTATTGACCCTACCTGCTAGTGCTGTTGTTAAGCCTAGGAAAGTTAATGTTTTGCAAAAGCAGTTAGAAAAATGCCTGATGTTTAGCAAGTATTGAGTACACACCACTCTTCCTGTGGGGAACTGTAGTAGGGGGCCCAGTGAGGAGGGCTGCTGGCCCCCCCGCCTGAGTGGTGAGGGAGCTTGCAGTGGGCACAGCTGTTCCGAGAAGGCTGTTCCCCGGGTTGGTCCTGCAGCTGGGCTTCAGGTCTCTGATGTACAGGGGCGGACAGGGTCAGGTGTTCCAGACAAAAGGACAGGCCTGGGTGCCCTGCAGTGGGTTCGCCCAGCAAGAAGTGCTCATCGGTGAGTGCTGGCCACCACATACCTGCTGGAGGAGACAGAGGTTACAAATCTAGCCAGCCTCTTGCATTCTTACCTTCATTCATTCAGCAGGTGTTTACTGGGCTCCTGCTGCATGCTAGGACTTGGGGTTGGAGCTGAAGTGGCTCCTGGCATTGTGGAGTTCACAGTCTGGTGGGGGAGAGAGTGACTCATTAAATAATCACAGTGATTGAACGAGAGCACGTGTGCAGAAAGACAAGTTCAGGACTCAGTCACCAGTGAGCTCAAGGAAGGCTTCTGAGTGAGACTGGGAGCAGGCAGGGCACAGAGACACCTGATGCAGTGGCCCAGCAGCAGCCAGTGTGAGGGCCGACCACACAGAGTCTCGGGGGTGGGACAGGCGCCTGGGTCTAGAATCTGGTTCCCTAACCTGTGAGCACAGTGCTGTGTCAAGTTGTGGGGTGGCCAAGGGGTTAGCCAAGGACAGGTCACCCATACTTTCAGGTAGAACCCTCTTCTTCAGGGACAGGGTGCTCTTCTTGGAGTGTGGCGGCCAAGGACACACGTGGCCCCTCTCCCTTCCCTTCTGCCCACTGTGTACAAAGTGCCTACTGTGTGTAGCTGTCAAGGGCCCTGTGATGTGCGAAGTCAAGTGTGTGCACAGCACCCTCCCAGCTGAAGCAGTGGCACCCACTCTATGCCTCTGGGCTATGCTGCTGTGGTCGGCTGCTGGACCTGGAGATGTAGAATGGGGTGGGGCAGAAAGAACCCCAGTTTCTAGGTTCAGATCCTCACGTTGAGTCCCCTTACAAGGACTCCTTTCAAGGTCTTAGAAGGTGGCTACTGTGCTGCTCTCCATTTGACAGATGAAGAAATTAGGGTTCGGAGAGGTCCGATGAGAGGCACACAGCCAGTACTTTTGTGTGTTTGTGTATAATGTAGCCCCAGGAGAGCAGGAATTTCTGTCTGTCTAGTTCGCTCCTGTATCCCTAGGGCCTAGCACAGAGCCTGGCACACAGTAGGTCGTCAGTAATATCGGGGTGGGGTGAGTAGGCATCCATGAGTATGTGGTCCTCAGAAGGGGCCCAGGCCCAACCTGGCTTAGTTGGAAGGAAAGTACTGATGGTGACGAGAGACGGCCAGGGTTCAGCACCGTGGACAGCAGAGGGTAGGGGGCTTCTGCACTTTGTATAGGAGCCCCAGTTGCGATGAACAGGCAAGGGCTGCCTGTCCCCACATTCCCCCATGAGAGCAGGAAGTACCTTTGTACCCCTTATGAGTCTTGTTAATTTATTCCTTTTTTTTTTTTTATGTTTATTGATACCAATTATGAAGTTGCTCAGTCGTGTCCGATTCTTTTGCAACCCCATGGACTGTAGCCCACCAGGCTCCTCCATCCATGGAATTTTCTAGGCAAGAGTACTGGAGTGGGTTGCCATTTCCTTCTCCAGGGGATCTTCCTGACCCGGGGATCGAACCCGGGTCTCCCGCACTGCAGGCAGACGCTTTACAGTCTGAGCCCCCAGGGAATCCCAATAATACACTCTTATTGTAACATTGATTACAAGACTTATTAGGCTCTCCTTAGGTTCCAAAGCCTTTCCATTTAACTCAGTGAATCCTCATAACACTTCTATGAGGTAGGTCAACATGGTCCCCATTTTATAGATGGGGCAAGCAAGGCAGAAAGATATCACAAACCCAGGGTCACAACTAGTAAGCAGTGGGATTTGAATCTAGGCTCCAGGTGCCTTGTTCTTAACCAGATTTTCTAGAGACAAGTCTTAAGTCTTCCTTGGTTACTTCCCCTCTTGCACCCCAACTTCTGACTCTTCCCCACAGGTCACTACTGTTGCTGCGTGGGTTTGCTTCAGCCACATCTTTCTTGCCCATCACTTAAATACATTTATGTACACATAAGAATTGGTAGTTTTGCTTTGTATGTTCATGTAAATAGGATCATGAATTGTTTGTATTGCTCAGTGGTTTGCTTTTTCCCTTAATGCTGTGCCCTGGAGACTTCCCAAGATGGTAGCATAGATCTTCCTCCTTTTGGAATATGCTGTAGCACATTCCGGCCTGCAGCTGTATCAGTTTGTTTCACCAGTCTCTGACTGATAGGCATTTAGGTTGTATTCATTGTTTAGTCGCTCAGTCGTGTGAGACTCTTTGCGACCCCATAGACTGTAACACACCAGGCTCCTCTGTCCATGGGATTTCCCAGACAAGAATATTGGAGTGGGTTGCCATTTCCTTCTCCAGTGGATCTTCCCAACTGCTGCATTGGAAGAAGGATTCTTTACCGCTGAGCCACCTAGGAAGCCCTTAGGTTGAATTTACCTTTTCCCTGGTTCAAACGGTAAAGAATCAGCCTGTGATGTGGGAGACCTGGGTTCGATCCCTGGGTTAGTAAGATCCCCTGAAGAAGGGAATGACAACCCATTCCAGTATTCTTGCCTGGGAAATCCCATGGACAGAGGAGACAGGCAGGTTACAGTCCATGGGGTCTCAGAGTCTCACATGACTGAGCAATTGAGCACAGTGCTTTTTCCCGATTATAAATGTCGGGGCAGGAAACACCTGGAAGGGGGTTGTCTTGTACATGCCTCTCTGCTCAGGTGGGAGACTGTTTCTCTTGAATGCTTACAAGGGGAATTACTAGGTCTGAAAATGATCCTCCCAAGCTGCCGGCCCTATAGGCTGTACTCCCCACAGTACCGGCAACATTGCAGGGGAGTGCTCACTTTGCTGCATCTTCACCAGCACTGGGTATTAAGGTAATATTCATTTTTTGAGGTAGTGCCTGATGACCAGCATGTCTGGAGGTGGGTGTTGTGGTGGTCTGCCCAGTCGTCCACTCCCTCCTCTGTCATGCACTCCCTACTGTGTCTTTCAGCCTGGCTGCTCCACCTCGGTCTCCGCCATGAACGGGCCCACCCTGCAGTCCTCCTCGGCCTCGTCTGCGTCCTCGGCCTCCACCTCGGCGGCGGCCGCCCCGTCCCCGCGGGGCTGGAGCGAGTTCTGCGAGCTGCACGCTGTGGCCGCGGCCCGGGAGCTGGCCCGGCAGTACTGGCTCTTTGCGCGCGAGCACCCACACCACGCGCCACTGCGCGCCGAGCTCGTGTCGCTGCAGTTCACCGACCTCTTCCAGCGCTACTTCTGCCGCGAAGTGCGCGAGGGCCGGGCGCCCGGGCCGCCGGCACCCCGGGCCGCCCCCGCCGCCCCCACGCGCGACTACCGTGAGACGGGCCGCGGATCCCCGGCCAAGGCCGAGGCGGCCCCAGCCGAGCCAGGCGCCGGCCCCGCCGCCCCCACCCCCGGCCTGCCCAAGGCCCGCAGCTCCGAGGAGCTGGCCCCGCCGCGGCCGGCCGCCACCTGCTCGCTCCAGCACCTGCGTCACAGCCTCCGCCACATCTTCCGCCACCGCTCGGCCGGCGAGCTGCCCGCGGGCCCCGTCGCCACCAACGGGGAGGCCGGCGAGGTCCCGGCCAGGCCCGGCCTGGCCAGGAAGCTCCTGCCCTGGAGCCTGGCTCGGGAGCCGCCGCCCGAGGCCCTCAAGGAGGCGACGCTGCGGTACAGCCTGGCCGACGAGGCCTCCATGGACAGCGGGGCGCGCTGGCAGCGGGGGCGGCTGGCTTTGCGGCGCGCGGGCCCCGACGGCGCAGACCACCTGCTCGAGCTCTTCGACCCGCCCAAGGTAAGACCCCACGCACGTGGCTCTGGGTGGTGACACGTCCCCAACAGGTAGCCGCAGAGTGCCCAGGGGACTTTTAAAAGGTGAGCTTTTCCCCAGAGAATCATTTCCCATTTTTAGATAGTACAGAGCCCCCTTAGATGCCACACCCAGCTTTGCTTCGTGTTTCTGTTACAGTGCAGGTCACATCCGTTGTATAATTAAGGAGTGAAACGTTGGAACATGGCTGTTCACTGGACTCTGAGGGTCCTTGGCTTTCCCTGGTTTTCCCCTAAGGTCCCTTTTCTGCTTCAGGACACCAAGTTCGATGCAGTCCTTAATGTGTCCTTAGGCACCTCTTGGCTGTGATGAATGGTTTTTCAGCCTTGTCTTGTTCCTGGCGGCCTTGACAGTTTTCAGCAGCACTGGTCAGGGATTTTGTAGAATATCCAGGGACACCGTACATGGGCATCATGTGGGCCAGTGGCAGCCTGGTTCAGGGTCCTTGAAAAGCCTGACCCAGGTTGACCCTGACAAATAGGAGGATTTCTCCTAAGGAGTTAAAAACTGTGGTGGAATTCCTTGGAGGCCTTCCATGCTTTGTGAATGTCTTACTTTCTTTGAAGTTTAGATTTTTATTTTTGTCTTTTGTGACACAGTCCTAGTGGTGCAGTTGAGGCTGACGGGTCACTGTCGTCTGGACAGCTGCAGGACTTCATCTTTGACCAGATGAGTCACGCTGATGGGAGCCGGCGGCCTTTAATCCCCTTCTCTTTGTGGTTCTGTCATGTCCTAGGCCCTTAGTCTAGAGAGTGAGCAAAGCAGATCCCAGCCCTGGGGGGTCACCGTCTGGGTGAAGGAGACCAACAATTATTCATTCAAAAACTACTTGTTGAGCAACTGCTCAGCGCTAGTTGCTGGGGAAGCGGGTGTTCTGGTGGGGCTATTGAAGGAGTAAAATGACCAATGAACTTGGAAGTATAAATTCTATCTTGTGTTCTGAAAGAAAGAAATCGGACCTCTGGGAGGAGGTCCTAATTTGGGGGGGTGGGATGGGATGCTGTCAAGGAAGCCCCTTGTGTGAAGTACCTTTCATTTTTAAACTTCACTGCGGAGTCATACTCACATGCTGAGCCGCGTGAAGCGCATCTGAAACTTCACAAGGATCTCTGTGTTTGTATACCCAGTGGCCCAGCGCCCTGGGGGGCTCCCTCACACCTCTTCCACATCAGCACCCCTCCCCCCACACACACTGACTCATACCCCTGTGGATTGCATTTCTCTGTTTTGAACTTCATATAAATGGAATCACACAGTCTGTGTGTGCATGCTAAGTCGCTTCAGCTGTGTCTGACCCTGTGGGACTCCATGGTCTGCAGCCTGCCAGGCTCTGTCCACGGGATTCTCTAGGCAGGAATACTGGAGTGGGTTGCCATCCCTCCAGGGGATCTGCCTGACTCAGGGATTGAACCCACGTCTGTTACATCTAACCTGCCTTGGCAGGCGGGTTCTTTACCACTAGGGCAACCTAGGAAGCCCAGAATTGCACAGTACATTGGTTTTTATGTCTGGCTTCTTTTACCCAGTATGTTCTAGAGATTTGCTCACGCTCTTGGATGCACCAGAGTTTGTTTCTTTTTATGGCTAAGTAAATCCAGTCTGTTGTATGGATGTCCTTCAAATTGTTTGTCCATTTACTGATTGGTGGATATTTGGATTGTTTCTGCTTTGGGACTTTTACAAATCATGCTGTAATGAAATTTGTTCTGAGGTCTTTGTAATGAACATATGCTTCCATTTCCCTTTGGTAGATTCCTAGAAGTGCTAGGTCATATGGTAAGTGCAGGTTTAACTTTGTAAGAAACTTCTGAATTTTTTTTCCAAATTGACAGCACAGCTTTGCATCCCCATCAGCAGTGTATGAGTCTTTTTTTCTTCTCTTCAGTGGATGTATACTGGTATTTCAAATTGTGGCTTTAATTTGTATTTCCCTGATGACTCATGAGGTTAAGTACCTCATCATGTGTTTATTGGCCATTGGGACTGGCTCTTTTCACAAGTGTTTGTCATTCTTATTGAGTTGTCTGTCTTTTTCTTATTGATTGATAGTTTTTATATACCCTGAAGGCACTTTCTTTGTATCATCTTCTGCACTGTGCTTATCTTTTTACTCTTTTAATGGAATCCTTTTGTGAACCTAAGTTCTTGATTTTAATGTAGTTTAAAGTTTATTGATTGCTTTCCTTTATGGTTAGTGCTTTTTCTGTCCCATTAAAGGAATCTTTGCCTACCAAGGGTCATAAAGATCTTTCTTGTTTTCTAGAAGCTTTATTGTTTGGACCGAATCATATTGACAGGCCTTCACAAGATCCATCCTGAGTTATGGTGTGAGGTAGGGGGTCACAGTTCTTCCAGTTCTGGCACTGCATGCTGATGTGACCCTCTTTTTCCCATGGGGTCACATGTGATGCCACTGTCATCCTGAGTCTAGTGTCCATCTGTGTGCTTCTGGACCTTCTGTTTTGTTGGCCTGTGTGTCTGTCCTTAGGCCAACAGCACACTGTCTTAATCACCAAAGTTTAGCTGTGGGTCTTGAGGTGACTTTTTTTTTTTAAACTGTGCTGTGAGGCTTGTGGGAATCTTAGTTTTGCAACCAGAGACTGAACCCCTGCACCCTTGTTAGTGAAAGCCTGGAGTTCTAACCACTGGGCTGCCATTGAGGAGGTGACTTTTGAACTGAGGTCTTTTTTTTTTTTGGCTGCACTGGGTCTTTGTTACAGTGAGTGGGCTTTTCTAGTTGAGGCACTCAGACTCCAGAGCACATGGTCTCAGTAGTTGTGGTGCTCAGGGTTAGTTGCCCTGTGGCATGTGGGATCTTGGTTCACAGACCAGGAATCGAACCCACAGCCCCTGCATTAGCAGGCAGATTCTTAACCATTGGACCACCAGGGATGTCCCTGAACCAAGATCTTACAGAGATAAGAGTCGCTGGGTTTTGGGAACAGCATAGGGAAAAGGCACTGAGATGGGAAAACATTTTGCATGTTTTTACGAAAGAAGCACAGAAGTGTGGTGGGGTCACAGAAGGGGCAGATGGCTCATGGGGGAGGAGGTCCTGTGAGGAGTTAGTATTTTATTCCAAATGTAACATGAAGCCTTTGGAAAGTGCAGATAAAAACTTTACTCATTGTTTTAAAAAGTCTCAAGGCTCTGACACCATGAAAGGCATAGATCATCCCAGATACATGGTCTTATCTGCATGATAACATGCAATTCCCTGTAAAACTTTTAAGAACTGATGCTTCTGAAAACAAACTTGTCTTAGAAAACCCAGCGCCAGGAGTCAGGCGGACCCAAGCTCAAACAGTGAATTGGCTTCTTTCTCAGCTGCAGATCTTCAGGCAGGTGGTGTCACCTCTCTGGGCCTCAGCTTCCTCCTCTATCGAGCTGAGCTTCTCAGAGTTCGCACTTTGTGTGGCTGTTGTGTTACCTGGGAGGCTGCCTCTGCAGAGTGCCTGGCACAGGGAAGCTCGGTGTTCTGGTGTTTCTTGTGGTGGTGGTTGTCGTGGTAGTGAAATGATTTGGGGACTTATTATTTGGTAATAAGTCAGTGCAGATTTATTTACCGCTTTGGGCCCTTGGTGTCTGGCTGGGATGCACGATCAGGGTTTCTGTTCTTCAGGAGCCCAGAGTCAGAGCACCTGTCAGAGTCCTTAGCGCTCAGAAGTGGTGTCTGGCCCCGGAGAAGTGGGACCTGCAGGTGGCAGCTGGGTCTCTGGGCCACCTGGGCCTGGGTCCCCCCAGGCCACCTGGGCCTCTTTCATAGGCTTGGTGGTTGCTGTGTGACCTGGGGTGTCCCCCACAAAGTGAGCAGCCCTGGGGGGGGCATCTCCCACCCCCTCCACATTGGGTGTCTGAGCAGGTCCTAGCTCTGTCCGCTGCTGACAGCTTCCCTTCGGGATTAGAACAGCCTGGGGCTCTTCTGAATGGTTCCTGGAGTGACTCGGAGCATCCAGTCTAGGCTGAAGGTATCTAGACTAGAAGTCTTGAGTGTGCCTGCCTAGTGGGCAGCCTTGACCTCTGACCTCTGATCCTGGAGTTGTCTATGAGAGCAACTTAATTTATTTTTTAATTAGAAGAAAGTTCTTTTACAATGTTGTCTTGCTCTCTGCCATACAACAACACAAATCAGCCATAATTATACATATACCAGCTCCCTCTTGAGCCTCTCTCTCCTCCCCCACACCTCACCCCTATGGGAGCAACTTTAAACAAAGGCAGTGACTTCCCTGATGGTCCAATGGTTAAGACTCTGTGGTTCCATCATAGGGGGAGTGACTTCCCGCTCTGGCAGGTGAACTAAGATCTCACATGCCGGAGGTGTAGCTGAAAAAGAGTCAAGAAAGGCAAAGGAGGGTGTGACAGCAAAGGCTTGAGCTCTGGACTCACACCTGAGCTCTGTCACTCGGAGGGTGCTCAGGCGGAAGAGGCTTGGAGGATGAGACCTGAGAGAGGGCACCGCCCAGCGACACTGCTCGGGGCGTGCGCCACCCGCACCCCCGGAAGTCTGATGCCAGGTGGTCGGCAGCTCATGGGTCTGCCTCGCCTGGAGTTGGGTCAGAGCTCCGCCTCTGACCAATGCCCCTGACCCTGGGCCGGTCAATTCTGCACTCACAGCCTCAGTCTAGTTGTCTGTAAAATAGGCGTGATACCAGCAGCCAGGGCTCAAGGGTCACAGTGAGGGCTGCGGTGGGAGGGAGCTGGCCGTTCCAGGCGGTGTGTAAGCGGAGGCCACAGGCTGCTGCAGTGGACGTTCAGAGCAGGTGGGAGGAGACATGCGTAGTTCGTTCCCAAAGTCCAAAGTCTAGTTTCAGTGGCATCACTGCAGGTGGACAGGGGCGGGACAACTCTTCCTTCTGTGCGCCGGCCCTTGGAGCAGGCTGGGGACTGTCCCTGGGGGGTGGTCATCAGAGGCCCCTTGGCAGGAGGTGACATCTGGGATGAACGAAGGTGCCGCTCCTGGA